AAACAAGCAAGGCAAAGAGGACTACTTTGAAGAAGAGGAAGCACCCACTCTGGAGGTGTTCGAAGTGAACTCAGCTGTGATAGCATTGGGGTTAGAGGTCTCCAAGTGAGCGTAAAAAGGGGTCGATCTTACAGAATATTGATGCAGGAGCGTCTCTTCCAGACACAAACCTCTCCGATAAACATATTCAGTAAAAGTATGGCATTCGCATCTCTCCATTCATTCATGTCTATCTGTGCCAGTAATAGTGATATTCCTGATAAGCACATAACCTCTAGCCAAAATATCGTGCAGTTTGGACTGCTTACTACAACACAAAGCGGAGAATTTGCTATAGAAGAGAGCCTTAAATCAACTTCTAATGTGTTTCAGACATTCTTAACAACTTCGGCAGGTCAGGGTGGTGGGGCGCAATAAGCCATATCCACGCTTTTCACCATGAATAAAAACTTCACCTCAACATTGCCGACGGCAATAATAAAATTAAACTACACTCACCACGTCGAAGCATCAGATCGACAGCCAGTGAGGGAGCTGACGACAGGCTCAGCGCCATCGGGTGAGTCGGGCATTCCCTACGGCACCGAAGATGAGGCTAAACCCGAAATATTGCTCTACTAAACAGGAAAAGATAAACGAAGAATTATAAGCAATAGCTGCTCCGGGGAATAGGCAAAGTGAAATAAGCAACGCATACATCGCTGAGGCTTCGTCCTTCCCTGCCCTACAGCAACTGCACTTTCCTACCTATCCACCTCAACCCGGCCTCATTTTCTAGTTTCCACCACTCAAGGACCTAACTCCTCCTTACTCGCATCAGTCACTTCAAAATTTTTCATTTCTACCACTTCAGACCCTATTTCTCCAATCTACTTCTCTTCTTCCCACCAATCCGGAAATCAGTCCTCCACACATCTACCTCAGTCACACCCAATTTCCCAGTTGCCATCACTCCTGGACATAGTTCTTTACATTTCCACAAAACTTCCCCTTTAAGTATCTATTCCCTACCACTGCAGAACCTGATCCTCCACCCAACTGTTCCTTTGAAATATCTAGTTCTCACCAAACCTGAACCGGACCCTCT